TAGCTTCTTATGCTTAGAGATTTACAAAGAGTTCAACAATATTTGTTCCTTTTAAAATTCTATTAACTTAAAGGATAATTTTGGTTTTGATCCACTTATCATAAAGCCCATTCATGAATCAAATGTTGGTCTCCATTTTCTTTAATTTTATCATGACTGGTTAGGTTATTAATGATAATTAGGAAACAACTACAAGAATCCTGTAAAGTTTCACCGGCCTTTCTCTGAAACTATAAAACTTATTTATAATTTCAATTAATTTTTCATCTTTAACTTATTCATTTCCATCGAACTTGCCCTTAAGAGTTAACCAAATAGCTCTAACACTTTTTCATTGGTTGATGCTATACAATAGGTTAGCTGGTATGTCATACATAACTCAATCTAATCTATTTCTTCTTTCCCTAAGTTCTCGAGATCAGGAGTTACAAGTTGCCCTCGTGTGTGTTGATCCATTTCACTAAAATTTGTGTAGTGGCATCACTCGTTCCCATATGAGCATAAGGAACTTACTGAATAGATATCTAAATATCCTTTCTTTTTGTTTTAGATAATTATCCATCCTAGTTTTTTTGCTGATAATACTTTTTTATAATGGTTGTAGATTCTAATTAGTTGTGATTTTTAGATATGTTTTTAGCCAAAGTGGTATATAAGGAGTTCTTTTTGTAATATTTTTAGATTTTTAAATAACCAATCTTCTCTTCTAATGGTAACCCAAAAAGTTGAAAGTAACCCAATCACTGAGGCTCTAATACCAATTGATAAATTAATATTAGAACCCCCTAAACTGGTGTGGAAGACATAATTACAAACAAGATAAACAATGCAATTGACGATCGAGTAAGTACAAAACAACGAAATAAAGGGAAAATATAGATAAATTGATGAACACTTCAATATTTAATATATGGAAAACAGATTCATACAATAGATATATTATCACCTACTTATAATGAAACTATATGAGGCATTTAGGGGATAACAAGTATTATATATACATATATATATATATATATATATATATATATATATATATATATATATATATAGTATAATATAATATAAAGTTTCACGTACTCATAAGACAAAACTATCCTTGAAAAAAGACATTCTAAATTGATATATTGATTCATTTTACATAAAATTGAAACAATAAAAGACATCATCGGTTCAATTGGGAGAATGTTAGGTCCAAATTACCCTCGGGTGGCCAGATGCATCAGTTGGCACGTATTACTCCTTTTGTTTCAACAACAGTGAGATGATTTTTCCGTGGTATAGAAACTTATGAGAATTTTTTTAATTTAAAGATGGAATTGACAATTCTATATAGTATTATGTTAAATGTGACTTAAGCATTTGGAGCATTCTGATGGCACACTTGGATGCGATGACAAACTTGAATATGATGGCATACTTAGATACAAGGACATGCATGGATGTGATGGCACACTTGAATGTGATAGCACACTTAGATATGATGGCAAACATAGATATAAAGACACACACACTAGTAGAAAACAACCATTTAATGACACGCAAACAATGACACTCGCTGATAGAGGACGCACATTTGTGAGTGTCCTAAAAAATATTGTAGTAGTTTTGCAAAATTTGAAGAATAGAGGACACGCATTTGTGCGCGCCCTAAAATTAGTGTCAGAAAAGAAAAAAAAAGAAATGTGGAGGGCGCCTTTCATAAAATGTGCATCATGTAAATGTGTCGCTTTATAATTTTTAAGTGAAACACATGTTTTAGGCGGGAAATGAAATCGATGAAAATTACCCCCGCCTATTGGATCCCAAAAATTAATCCCCCCCGCCTCTTTTACTTAGCAAGAAAAAGCCCTAGGGCCTTCATCTTCGTCTTCAGCGGTGGGAATACCTAGGTTGATTCTTCATGGTTCAACAACATATTTGTATACATCAAAGGTATACGATTCTGGATCTCGGCATGATTATCGCGCTTTGGAGCCGGCAACGTGAACATCATTCGTGAGAAAAGTTCATTCAAAACTCAATAATTTCTTTGGTTTTGATTATTGAGTGAGGTATAGGGAGGTGTAATTGTTTTGGACTCTTTACTAATTGAGTTGAAATTGAACCCTAAAAACTCAATCCATACTTCGAACTTCTCTGATTCTCTCTTCTTCCGCTCCCCAATCTCCTTGGTGGTGCTCTTTCCATTTCCATTTCCAACCTCAATCCACCGCTAAATGGAACCCAACAATTCAATCAATCACATCGACGATGATGGTGATCAGAACTTATTTCCAATCGATTCAACACAAGTAATCACACCAATCGATTCAACACAACTAAACCCTCTTTCTGAATCATCAGGTCTAGTTCTTGTTCTCCTTGCTCATACGTTCTCATATGATATTCAAAACCTCACTTAGTCTCTCCTTCTCGAAATCCTCGCAAGATTTCCCCTGCAATCAATTTTTAGGTTCAAATGTGTTTGCAAACACTGGCTAGACCTAATTTCTCAGCCTTCATTTGCTCGTTTCTATTGCTCGCGTATGCTCATAGCTAGCGCATTGTTATCATCCTTACCTTTCAGAATTTTTTATAGGTACATTTATGTGTTGAAATTCACAGACGTTCTTGATCGATTCCGTCCCAAGACTTACAATTCCTCAAAATTCTCGGCCCTTTGCTCTTTAAAAAAAAAGCAGGTATTTTTCTATGTTCTTGTGGTCTCTTTACTTTCTGCTTGTATTGATAATATTGAACATATGTTTTGAGAATAGAACATTAAACCCTAGATTCTGGGAACTTGCAGATGTGGTAGATCAATCCTCATATGGTCATTCTGGATTCTAAGCCAGACTCATGGACTCTAGTTTAGGCTTTTACAAATCTGTATACAAGATTGAAATTGCAAGATTGGGGTTTGAACTTTGAAGTTGGTGGGCCTTCTGGCAGGGTGATGATGATGTCATGTTATGATTTTGATTATCCTCCACCTTTCCAGTAGCATCATCTTATTTGTATTTGTTCTATTGTAGAAATGCTATTATGGGAGTAGTGGGCTTTGCTTGATAGAGGCTTTGCTTTTAGATATCAGTTCACTTGTCTACAAGAGCTGTTTTTTTGCAGGATATTATATTGCCATGTGTTATATATACATATAATAATTATTATTACATTTCAGGTCTAATACCACCGATAGCTCACATGCCACTTCATCTTTCTTTAACTATGTTTTGCCTTGAGTTGCCTGTGGATTTTGTTACTGGTTGTCCATGTTATCAGGACCATGAAATATTTGTTTTCCTCTTTTTTCTTTCCCCATTCCATTGTTTTCTTTAACAATTTATTTTTATATATGTGAACGAATCATAGGTGTTATAGATTTGGTTATTTAATCCTACATTTCCTGTCCTAGAATCACATAAATAACATGAGTTACAGTTATAGTATATAGCAACACAGGTCTATTAGTAGTTTAGGGTGTGTTTGGCTCGTGGATTTAATGGGAATCTTAAGTAAAAATGAAGCATGCACTTAATCGTGGAAGCTATATGTAGATATTTCATTCAGGCTACTGCCAAGATTATGATGAAAAAGAAAAATGTAGTTTCACTCCTATCAAGTGTATTTTACTATAAACTTTTTGTTTTCAACTTTTTAAAAAATATTAAAATTCAAAATTACAATTTAAGGGGACAGCTATGGCTTCATTGATGCATATGCAGAAAATTCTATCAAACAGAGTGCAACATTTTCCAACTCTTGAGAAAGCTGTAAAATCAGCCTTTTGACTTCACTTATTTCATATATCTATAAGAATGTACAAAACTGTTAATTTTTTTTAATAAAATTTGAATTGTAATTTGTAAATACTTACAAATTGAGTGGAATGTGAGATCAGGCTCTTTAAGAAACATCGATTCTGCTCGAATATCGATTCACGGGACTGTAAAGTATGATGACTCACAGCAATGGTAAGTTTTTGAGGTTTTTTATTTTTTCAAAACTAATTTATTTTTGATTTTGTCATTCCTAATTTTTATACAACATATTTTGGTTCTTGTAAATTATTTGTTGGAATTTAGAAACAAAAGTTAACAGATTAGTAATTCAACTCCCTTGTAAATATTTTTTACAAATATATAGAATTACTTTTGTGCAAATTGACTGATCTTGCTGTTGTATGTACAACTATCGACACAGAGCACGATTGGAGGAAACAGAACAATATTGGAGACGATGGTAAAAATTTACTCTTTGATATTTGTTGTCATTGAAGGAATTTTTTTTTATTATGTTTAACTTTCTATTGTTGTAAAAAAAAAATTCAGGTATGAAGGCCTCTAGGAAAAATTTATGTCATCTCCTATCCCAAAGTTGTTGGCTGGAACAGATAGACTTAACAGGTTCTTTCTTTTTCTTCCCATTCAGTGTTGTTTGGATAAATGATGTTTAAAATTTAATTAAGAATATGACTACACCAAGGCCCTCACAATATAATATATAATAATTGTTAAATAAAAAGTCAATATTATTTCTTGGTGGAAGGGTAATATGGAAATTTTCTATACCAGGGCTCTCACGATAGGACAAATGCAGGGAAAGTTTCAAATGGTGGTTGTCCGACATACTGGCTATGCAATACAGGTGAGAATTTAGTCTTTTCAAATAAACCTTTTTTTATGATAAATTTAAACAGACAAACTTGGTCATCACCCTTGTCTCCGGGTGTCATGGATTATCTTAAAGAATATAATATGTCTGATATTCTACTTATAATAGTTTTGTTTATTAGGACATTATACTCTAAATTTTTTACCTAATTAAGCAGTGAAGTCACTTTGTATTTGTAATACATTTGCTAAAACTAGGTAGATTTCTGAAAGTAGAATGTTGTAATAAGATGAAAGGAAAGTAGGATGATGTATAATAGATGTTTATGGGCGTTTCATGTTAATTACAAACTACCACACTTTGGAAAACAATTAAGGATTGTTTAAGCATATCACACAGCAAAAGAAGCATGCTACATTTTTCCATGTCAAATTACCTTTTTGCCTTTAAGCTATCTGCAGGCACTGCCAAATCCTTCATGAATTGTGAAAAATTTGGAGATTTCTAAGAAGCTCTGCTTCAACTTTTTCCAATGTTTTGGCTTTTGCAGCTGCATAGGTTCCAGACCCCCTAAACATCGCCACTGGAACCTGAACCACATATATAAATTATATATATATATATATATATATATATATACTTATTTACAATAAACAAAAAACTTTTTAAATAACACAATTACCTTAATATTTGGTTCCTTTGTTGGAGAAGCAGAGGTGAAGTTCCTTGATTTCTGCCAAAAAAAAAAAGCAATCCCTAAATTTACAATGTATCAAGTTGCAGTCAATGTGTATGCCTTTAGTGACAAGTACACTGATATAGCTTTGCAAGGTATGTATTTACTGATATTGTTTTGTTCTGGTTTTTGTTTTATGAAAGCTTGGATAGTAATAAATTGATTCTCATAATTCTTTGCATTTATTTGACTCAGCTTGCATTCTGCATGGGATTAGAATCACTGCTCGTTTAAGATTTCAATTTTCCAGAGAAACCACTCATCATAATTTAAAAAAGGTTTAAGGGTTGATTGAATGAGAGAAAAGAAAACACTAATACTCCATGGCTAATAAGAATAATAAAAATAAAGATATGAGGCAAAAAAGGTAAAACAAACTCGTATGTATGAAGATGGTTTGCATGGTAATTAAATTTATAGTATATGTATGTTTTGGTTTGCATGCAGTCTTTGTTTGGCAGCTTGGACAAACTTGTAGCACCCGATCGTCCATGCCTCACTCTTGGTAAAACAAATTTATAGTGTACTTCTTCCATTCATGTTAGTAATTTCTCATTATGATGTGTTGTTTCTTGTGCAATTTTATTTTTAGGAGATATTTTACTTTATTAAATGTTTAAAGTTACAGGACATGAGTATGGGCACATCATGGAACATTTAAGGGTAGTTGTTGGTCTTCCTCTTGGTGATCCATCAATGAAGTGGCCAACTTGCATCATGTAATAACATTTTAGGCGAAGATGATGGTATATGTTTTTTTAATGAATAATATAATCATATGTATGAATATGAAATAAGGTTTTTTATTTAGTATGTGATAATCATGTATAGGGAGAAAACAACATCTATTGATTTGTTTTATCTTTCCATGGATTGATTATTTGTATGACATCAAATTTTTTGTATATGGTATTTTATTTTTTGTTATGAGACATCAAATGCAAATTTAATTTGAAAATTAGTAAATCTATAAATAATATTTTTTTTAAACATTTAAAATTACGATACGCAAAAATGTGTGTCATCTTTATTTATGACATGGCCTTTCTTGACAGGGGCTTCCTTTATACGCATTGTGTGTCATAAACACGTGCGTCGTTTGGTTACGATACACAAATGCATGTCGTCTTCCTTTATGACAGGGCCTTCCTTGATAGGCATTGCGTGTCATAACTGTGTGTCGTAAATGTGTGTCATAAATACACATCGTAAATGTGTGTCATAAATGCACATCGTAAATGCACGTGGTGAATAGACAACTACAAAAGCGTGTCGTCTCTCGTCACGACAGGGCCTTCCTTGACACGTATTTGCGCATCGTCTGAGCGTTTTACGACATGCATTGCGCGTCGTAAAAGGCTGTTTTCTAGTAGTGACACTTAGATGTGATGGAAAAGTTAGATATGATTTCACACTTGGATGTGATGCCACAGTTGGATACGATGTGACAATTGGATGTGATGACACATTTGCATGCGATGGAACACTTGGATGTGATGGCACACTTAGATATGATGACACACTTGGATGTAATGTCACGTTTGGATGTGATGGCACACTTGGATATGATGATACATCTGGATTTGATAGCACACTTGGATGTGATGGCACATTTGGATGTGATGAAACACTTGAAAAAGTTCTATTCATAGGAGGCACCACTCAATGGTACCACAAAGATGTTCCATGCATAGGAGGTGCCGCAATATGAGAAGGTGACACTCAATATCACACTAATATGTCGTGATGGAACGTCGACGATGTTTCATACACTGGAGGTGCTATATAGTGATAGAAGGTTCCACTAAGTGACAAGGTGTTCCATGCAATGGCACCTGATGTGCCAATGGTGGATAGTTGATGCCAATGCAATGTATCTCAAGGTTGAAAGTTCCAGAAGTTGTTGCATGAAAGATTGTGATTGGTTGGCACTATTCATGAGCCTATAGGCCAATAGGCTTGGCCCGTTATGATTTTAGTTTTGATCCCTTCAATATAAATAGGGATTCTTATTTTAGGTTTGATCCGTTCAATATAAATAGGGATTCTGCTATTCATTTGAAAAGGTTTTGTATTTTAGAGTGATAGGATAATCTTTGTTGAATTGTACTTGTAACCTCTCTGTAAGATCGCAAAAATAAAGAATACTCCCCTCCTGTTGTGGATGTAGGTTACGTTGACCGCACCCACATAAGTATTATGTCTTATGTGCTTTTGGTTTTTCTTGTTTTCACTTTACTTCCTAACAAGTGGGATCATAGTTGTAGTTTGTGTTACTGTGATTTTAGAGAGGCTTAACGGTTTAAATGACTTTAATTTGTAGAATGTAAAGATGAGAGCTCTTTGGTTCAACAAGGATGTGTAGTGGAACTGGAAGGAAAGGCAAAACTACAAAAGGACATGGTGGCTAAAAAGAAGTTGGACATTCTGATGAAGGCACATAACTCTATTTTGTTATGTTTGACATATGAAGTACTGAGGGATGTCGTGGATCAAAAAACTATTTCTATGATTTGGGAGAAACTTTATGACAAGTAAGAGAACAACTCTAAGACGAACATGTTGCATCAGAAGCAATGTTTTTACCCTCTAAGAATGTTTGAAAGTACCCAAGTGAAAGATTATATGGATAAATTCAATCGCATCATCTTGGATCTATAAGGGGTTGAAGTGAAGATTGAAGATGAAGATTGGGAACTTATTCTCTTATGTTCTCTTCTGAACTCATATGAGAATTTCATTGATACCATGTTATATGGTAGGACAATGATCACTGCGAATGATGTGGAGGATTCTTTAATTTCCAAGTAAACGAAAAGAAATTTTTTAGTTGAAGAAGAAGTTTCCAGTTCCAGATGGTTCGTAGCAAGAGGAAGGAATAAGGGAGGAAATTAGGGAAACGGAGCGAGGTCACATTAAAAATCAAATTCTAAAGTTTATCTAATGCAAAATGTTATCATTTCAAGGAGAATGGGAAATTCAAGCACAATTGTCCACAACTGAAGAATGGAGAGTCCAAGAGTGAATCAAGCAGCAATAACACTGTTGTTATGGTTCAGGAAAGTTTTGATAAAGGGGACAATGATGAGGTACTAACTGTTTGTACAATTAGTTTTGTAGATGCTTGGGTCATTGATTTTGGAGCATCTTATCACATGACTGGTTTGACTCCTTCAAGGAGTGTAATTGCACAATCAAGATGGCTAATAATTTGGTAAGCTGTATCAAGGGTAGTGACACTGCGCAAATCAAGATGTATGATTGTGTCATCGGAAAGTTTGATTATTGGTATGTTCCAGAACTTTGGAATAATCTACTTTCTCTTGGAACTTTAGCTTAGAATGGGATGAGGTATGCTGGTGAGGCTGACTGGGTTAAAGTCTCCAAAGGTTCTCTGGTGATAATGAATGGAAATATGACTCTTATGGGTCTTATATCATGGATGGCAGTACGGTTAAGGGAACGATAGCTATATCCCAATCCATGGATCAACATGATGAGAGGATAAAGTTGTGGCATCGTAGGTTAGGATACATAAATGAGAAGGGCATGTTAGTTCTATGTAAACAATAACTGTTTGGTGGAGAGGTTACTGGAAAGATAAATGTTCTTATGCATGCGTCAAGGCAAAGCATCACAAAGTGAGGTTTGGTACTGATCAACACACAAGCACAAAAATCCTAGAATATGTTCGCTTAAACCTGTACGGTCTAACTCTTGTGAAGTTTCCTGGTGGATGCTCATACTTTATGAATTTCATTAATGATTACTTAAGGAAGGTTTGGGTGTAATTTCTAAATACTAAAGATGTGATTTTTGGGAAGTGGAAGATCATGGTTGAGAAAATAACAAAAATGTAACAGCCCGGAATCGCAAGAGTAGAGTTGAAGGGCTAAAAGTGTAAGTTTCGGAGGGTGACTCGGCGAGTCCATGGATAGACTCGGCGAGTCAGGTCGCGACTATGGTCGCGTATCAAGTGGCCTACTCGGCGAGTCCAAAGATGGACTCGGCAAGTAGGTCTGTGTGGAGAAAACCCTAATTTTCGGGGTTGAGCCCCATATAAAGATCATTATGCCCCTCCACAGCCTCCTCTATTCCCCCCTTGAGTCCCAGAAACCCTAAATTCGTGGAGAGCCCCATTGTTGAGCAAATTAGAGCTTGGGAAGGAGTTGGTTGAAGAAATCTTGAAGGAGAAGTGGCTTGGATCAAAGGGCTTTGCTTGGATTCGAGTTTCATTGCTGTTGAGGCATCCTTTGGAGGTAATACTTTCGTTCTTGGGCTGTGTTTTCCTAGTTTCTCATTTTGGGGTTGTGTGGGGAGCTTAGTTGTGTGGCATCTTGATGTTTGGAGGATGGATCTGAGGTTGCTACCTCAGATCTGGAGTGGAGAAGATCTTAAGAGCATTAAAGCCCCTGTTCTTGTGTTGTTAATGGAGCTATCATGTCCCAAACCTTGGTTCTAAGGTGAATAAGGCCTAGATCTCTTTAGATTCACGTAAAGTTTGCCACTTTACGTGATGGATGGATTGTAGGAGGTTGGATCTATGTTTTGGATCAATTGCATGGCCTGAGATGCTTCTGTATGGATTCAGACCGGTGGTACTCGACGAGTCACATGGGTGGACTCGACGAGTTGCTTGAAGATGGCCTGGAACTCGACGAGTTGGAAGAACAACTCGGCGAGTAGGTTGAAGATAGCCTTGGACTCGGCGAGTCTGTTCTTGGACTCGGCGAGTCTTGTCGAGGAGAGTCCCAATATTTCCTGGTTGAGTCGAGAATCGGTGAGTCAAGGGATGACTCGGTGAGTTGGGTGCGAGTGGACTCAGAGTTGTTGGACTCGACGAGTCTTGGGGTGACTCGGCGAGTTGGGTCGCTGATTGAGGGAAGTTCTGAGCATAAGGACTCGGCGAGTCATCGGGTTGACTCGGCGAGTAGGGTCAGTCAGGGGTTGACTTTGACTTGTCCAAGGTTGACCAGTTGTCTTCCAGGGGTATTTTGGTAATTAAGGGTATTTATTGAGTTGTATGTTTTGATGTTCAGTGGAGGAGTTCGTGTCAGAGTTCGGAGCAGCGGGATCTTATCCTTTCAGCCGCCGGCAGTTTCGAGGTGAGTTATCCTCACTATATCAACAGGGTCTAAGGCACCAAGGCCGGCCCTTTATTGGATTGAAATTCGGATATGGTTATTATGTTATTGTTTGATGTGTCTGCATCCTGGTAGCTAGGATGGTACATGCTAGGAGACCTTGTTAAGGTCAGTTTTCCGATATATAAAGTGATGTCATGCTAGTGACCGGTTAGGTCGGTAACCTGGGTAGGGTAATGATATGCTATGTGATCTGTTTGTTCGGTTTGTTGGCTATGACTGTTATATGATTGTATGTTTTGTGCACATGGTTGTTTGGACTAGAGATGGGTTGAGGCGGGTCCTGCTTTGTGCTGTAGGCCAAGATACCCAGGGCGGACCGGTTATTCCGAAGGCCCAGCGAGCGGTCCGGATAGGCTGTAGGCCCCACGAGGGCGGACCAGACGTGCCGAGGCTCGGAGAGTGGACCAGGCCGACTGAAGGCCCGATGCGGGCGGACCAGTCACACTGTAGACTCAGAGAGTGGACCAGGTGGGTTGAAGGCCCGATGCGGGCGGACCAACCCCACTGTAGACTCGAAGGACATGACTAGACCTGGAGGATGGATCCGTGGACTGAAGGCCCGATACGGCGGACCAGTCACACAGTAGACCCGATATGCATGGCTGTTCTATGTTCTGTTATGTTATGTATGTTTTATATGTTATGGGCCGGAAGGCAATATGTTTTGGACCGGAAGGTCGCAGCCTGGAAGGGCGTATACGTGGTTGGTATTTTGGGGGTATCTCACTAAGCTTTCGGGCTTACAGTTGTGGTTTAATGTTTTTCAGGTTCTTCAGGAGACCGTGGCAAGGCGAAGGCGCGATCGTACCGCTCCTCATGATTTTGTAGCAAAGTGATTATGGGGATACTCTAAATGATTTGTATTGAAAACCTTTTGTAAACAATTTAATGAAAATCGGGTGGTTTTTGAAAAATTTAAATTGGTTGTATTTTTCGGATGTTACAAGTTGGTATCAGAGCCTTGGTTTGAGTGAATTGGAGGAACACTTATGTGACTCCAGTCTCAAATCGAGGAGGGTTTTCAAAAGAGAATTTAAAATGGTTTTCAAAGTAAGTAAAGGAGGACGCGGAGGTACGATCAACCGGAGCCAGTGAGTAACCCCAAAGTACCATACATGACAATTGTTTTATTGAGCTTTGATAGAACAACATGCTAGAGTTAGGCTAGGGATCTTCAGGATTTCTTGATGAGTTGCCTGATTTATGATGCCTGCTAGCCTAGGGTTCCTTGTGAGAGATTTCTAGTGTTCCTCGAGTTGTGAGGATAGAGCGTTGTTATGTATGTCGCTAGGGTGTTGTGGGAGTACTTCATACAAATATGGGTAGGTGTGGAAGGTAGTATGGGCCCGTACTACCGAAAGCACGGACCCATACGCGTATCAGGGAAACCATGACCTCTAGGGTTGGAATGAGAGCTGGTTCCCAAGTTAGTGGAAATGTCTGAGATTTTGGTGTTTTATTTTCAGTGTGGAGATTTCAGGGCATGCTGGGAGTGGATATGGGTCAGGATCAGGAGCAGGAGAGGGAGTTTCGGGTGGGTCTGTACAGCCCGAGGTTGTCAGTCAGATGAGTACGCACGAGTTGGATGCGAGGATTCGTGAGATCCTGCATGATGAGGTTGCTGCATTGTTTCGGGCTGAGCTGTCGGAGTTGTTTGGGTCGATCCAGACCGCCATGGTGGAGTATTTTGATGAGCGCTATGCAGCTCTCACGGAGACGGCTGCCGCGGCAGCTACAACAGCTGTAGCAGCGGCAG